GTACAATGTTTTATATTTCTTTAAAGAGTGTGCTACCAGGGATCCCTTAAATGAGTCTATCGGAACATTTTATTATTATTATTATTATTATTTCTTCATTTGATTTCTTTTGTACACCCATTTCCTTTCGGTTCCCAACGAGAGATGAAGGTTCAGAAATGACATTATAGCATTTTCACTGAATATTTTTTAAACTTAAGAGTTTCAGCTATACTTGTTTTATGTTTTAAACTTAAGGTTTGAGCTATACTTGTCAGAGTAAAAAAGAAAATTATTTCTTTAAGGCAATGGGCTACCAGTTTTTTTTTAATCCAATGTCGTTGGTCTATAGCTTAACTCAATTTGAATTAAAACTTTTCTACTATTAATGCTTCCAATAAAAAGACTGTAGACATCTTTCTTCGTATGGTGAATCTTATGGCAAGTAAACTTCTTAATTTAGAATACAAATTCCTTATTTCAACTCTATTATTGATAATTATGAAACTATAATTGACAGCAAGTATAGCTAACGAATTTACTGTCATGATCTGATTGCAAACATTCAGAACCTATAATGTCTCATATTTGTCTGTTGAACTCTTTTTTCTTTGTTTAACACATTCCTTATCATGTGCATATAACCGTTTATTGGGATTAATGATTAAAAGTGGCTTCAAGTGTATGAATTCATTTAGTCTTAAAAAAGACAATCTTTCATCGGATCTTATAGAACTTCATCAAATATGAAAAAAAACTAAATGACTTGAAAGCTTTCAACAGTAACAGCAACTAACATCAATGAATAGAAGGGAAACTCATGATATAATAAATATGTTGATATTCTATAGGATCTACATTTCAAATGGTTTAGTAGTAAAATCCCATTGAGGCTAGAAAAATCGGTAACAGTGACTAGATTTGAGAAGTCTATTTTTTTTGAAAAACTGTTTTAAGACAAAGATTTTATGCATTTCAAACGACACTAACCCAAAGATTTTGGATAATGAATGCCGAATATTTCTTGTTTGAAAAAGTGTTTTCTCACTATTATAATAGTTATTCCTGTGAAATTACAGAAAATGTGGCACAAGGCCTAAAAAGGGGATGGGGAAAAGGACGGTCTTCATCTGTCTTAATTTGAACTTAGCTAGCCACAAGCACTGACCCAAGCATACAAACAATATTTCTAACACCAAAACAACACATTCTTACTAACCTTTCTTTCTACATTCACCATAATACCTCGTAGTCTCAATGAAAATCCTAAATAGTTCCCATGTGTACAAATCGTCGTATGTGGGGAGGGATTAAAACAACAAATTAAAAAGATCCCCAATGAGTATATACAATATGAATTAATCTATTTACAAGAATCTAAACAAAATCATTATTAGTAATAACCAAACACACACACAGTATTTAATTGTGGCAGAAATATCATTTCACTGGACGAAATCAATGCGGGCCTATAAAAATATAAACAAAAAACTTTCATTCATCTCACCATTATGACCTCATGGATTCCTAAGTATTTCAGAACTCCCCTTGTTCGAGTAATCTTATTGCTATATTAATATCAATCTTACCTGTCTTTCTAAAGTATAAATAATTGAAACAAAACAAATAATTCCGTTATTATTTACTATTTTTTTCCAATGAAACATGGCCCAGTGCACATGTTAGTACTTCGTATGTCCATTCCACGAAGTCGTTCCTTGCAGATTAACCACAGATTCTCGATTGGATTTAAATCAGAGGAGTTTCCGGTCCCGTCTATAGTACTTTGATTTGCTCATTGGTAAGGCTTGCCAGTGTCTTCATGCAGCGTTACAATTTTCGTATGCTTCCCTCGAGTAATGTCCATCGCAGACAATGGCCAATCAACATTCGATACAATAATGTCTGGGCGTGATAAATATCTGATATAATCACGGATGCCGCAATATTTTTCAAGGCGAAACAAATTTCATCATACTTCCCGAAAATAGATTCATGTTACTGCACCGCACTGCAAATGACCTAATCTAAGGAAAAAGAAAGAAATCGATTACACCCTGTCATTCCAGTGACTATAAAGTTGACTGTATGGTGAAAGAAAGGAAACTAAAGCGGTTGTTTCAATTAATTTGCACGAGGGTTTGAGAATCAGCACATTTGCCTACAGCAAGTTGCATGGCTTTGTTGTGTTCTTGAAGAAATCATCAACTTCAGCATGTGATTTCGAATTATCTCTACAAAATAGATGGTTTATACATCTTTCATATCTTCTTTTATTATTATTAAATTCAATTGAAAGATGAATAAGATATGCAAAAAAGAGTAAAGGCATAATATTAGTTTCAATTATGTTCAAGTTTTCAATATGCTGCTTATGAGAGTTAATTTGCCAATAGCTTTTCTATAATAGATAAACTATTATCATTATTATTGTTGTTGTTGTTGTTTTTGTTGTTTCATTTCCTTTGATTTTTGGTGTGTTCTGATTTCTTTCCGAGTCTCACCCAGAAACCTAAGGTCAGAAATGGCATTTTCCACCGAGCAATTAAAAAATGACATTTTCCACTGAGCAATTAAGAAACCCAGAAAAACACATATTTGACAAAGATAAAACCCTTCGTAATGCGTGAGATGTACTATATTATTATTATTATTATTATTATTATTATTATTTCATTTGATTTCTGTTGTATACTCATTTCCGGCTCGCTCCCAAACCAGAGACCAGAAGTCAGAAATGGCTTCATGAAATTTTCCACTGATCATCTTTGTAAGAAAAACAAAACAAAAAAAAACAACCTAACATCCGACACATTTTTACATATCTTCGTGTTAGCTGTACTTGAGAGTACAATTTTTGTATTTCTTTAAAGCATTCACTATCTGGAATACCTTTAATGAGCTAATCGAAACATTTTCCATTCAATCCGAAGTTTCCAACTACAACAGATCCTTGTATTTTGATAGTTGTTTGAAGATCTTCAAAGATATATTAAAATCTGCAAGGACTGTCATATCAATAAAAAAAATATAAACACATTTTGTTTTTGTGCTATTTGATCACGGTGTCTGGGCGATTAGATTTGAATGTTCTGTCTATCCATATTGTAAAATCTCATAAAATTGTTACAGCTCCTCTGTCTGTAACTGGGTGTGGGTGATGTTATACCAGTTTCTTGCAGTTTCCTTTCTTTAAAAGTTTCATATTTTGCAGTGCACATATTGGCCCACTCTATTATTATTATTATTATTATTATTATTATTATTCTGAGCACTTTTGTTAAGAAAAAAATCACACACATTTTATATAGATAAAGCCCTTTGTAAAATGTGAGAAATACTTGTGTGTACAATCTTTTGTATTTCTTTAAGGTCTGCGCTACCAGGGATCCCTTAAATGAGACTATAGGAATCTTCTATTATTATTATTATTATTATTATTATTATTATTATTATTTCCTTTGATTTCTTTTGTACACCTATTTCCTTCTGGTTCCTAACTGTAGACCAAGGTTTAGAAATGGCATCATGGAATTTTCACTGATTTTTTTTTTTATTATTTAAATGTAAGAGCACACACATTTTACATTGATAAAGCTCTTCGTAAGGTGTGAGCTGTATTTGTGAGAAAAAAGAAATTTATTTCTTTAAGGCATGGGCTACCAGATATACCTTCAATTAGAACTTTTTCCAGTCAAAAAAAGCCCTTGGGACCGGCAGAAAATGATGTAATATTTTCTGTTTGTAATCTTTTTTTCTTTTCGTTTCTGTGGTAGGATGTAAGAAAGCAAATATATAGAAATATCAAATTTTCAATTTAATGGACGCCGCCATTTCTCATGTAAAATAATAATTTATTCAAGTATATGAGTTATCATGATAATTGATTATCTTTTTCTATGGCCGATATCATTGAAATAGTTAAATGCAATTGTGGTTATTGTATGGGGTGAAATCTACGCAAGTTATGAGAAGTATTCGTGGGTATGATTGTTTGCAAGTCAAATATTTTAGTGTTGTCAGGGTTTTGAGCCAAATATTCAAAAACATCAAAATGTGATCTAGTCTCTTCAGATTATGCATAGAAAAGGAAACTTCCTATACGTCATTAAAATAGATGCATAAGATTTATGCGAAGATCCCTGGGAAGAAATAAAAACTTCTGCAAGTAAAGCTAAAGTCAAAATAGAAAAGTCAGCGAAATTAATGGACGACGCCATTTCTCATGTGAAATAATAATTTATTCAAGTATATGAGTTATCATGTTAATCGATTATCTTTTTCTATGGCCGATATCTTACGATTTTTAAATAAATTGATATTGCACTGAACTTGTTTGCATGATAACATCAGACATATGCAAAACAGAATCTTATCAAAATTCAAACAGGATGTATTATAATCTGTAAGTGGCATTAGAATTAAATGGTTTTTACTTATCAAAAGTAAATAGCAGCCAACTATAAAACCGATTTTTACGAACATTTATATCTATAGTGTTTTATTCGTACCGGCAGAAATTGATGTAATATTTTCTGTTTGTAATCTATTTTTTTTTCTTTTCGTTTCTATGGTAGGATAAAAGAAAGAAATCACTAAAAAATTCCAAAGATAACTATAATAAAACCCAAAAATATAAAAGCAAAATATGAGCAGATTGATCTCCCCTGTTTACGAATAAAAGACTCATATGTTAGGGTAACACGGAAAATTGTGAGTTTATCGCTAATGGTCGTCAAGTAAGGCTCCTGGCTGACATGACAATGTATCGCCTTACTACCATATCGAGAACATCAGGCTGCGAAACCAATAAATATAAGAAGTCACATTTCTTATATTATAAAACACACACACACACACATATATATATATATATTACAGTGTGCAGCTTATACACACACACACACACACACACACATATAGATATATATATATATATATATATATATATACCATAAAGAAACAATTTATATAGGAATTAAATAGCAACTTTAAAGTCATTAATGACGAAGTGATTTAAGTTAGAAATCCACGATATATATATATATATATATAGATAGATAGATAGATAGATAGATAGATAGATAGAGAGAGAGAGAGATAGATAGAGAGAGAGAGAGAGAGAGATGAAATATAAATATTAAATACTGCACAGTGAGCGCACAAAGATCTGCTGAGATATTCAGGAAAGACATTAGAATAATCGAAAATCTCTAATGGCAGCAAGCCGCCTGCATACGAATAAAAAAATATGTTCAGCAGATAAACAAAAACAGAAGGGGTTCTAAGGCAAGGATATATCTTCTTTTTTTTTAAGCATTACGCCCCGAACAAGGCGTGAAGCCACTAGAGTGCAGGGGGCTGCAGAAGATTTGGAGCGAGAGCAAATAGGGGTGATAGAAGAAAGGATGAGGAGAGTGATAGTGGTTAGATCAAGGTAACTGGGAGATGTCGATTGACATTACATTTGAATAGTTTGAGATTATAGCTCTCAGGGAAACAATAATAAGGAAGAGTGTTCCACAGGCGAGAGGTGCGAGGTATGAAGCTATTGGAGTGGAAGAGACGGTTACATTTAAAAGTTTGTACAGTGTAGGGGTGAGAGCGGGATGCCAGCCTCGTAGGGCGCTTGAATTCATGAAGTCTGGGAACCAGTGAAAGCAGCTCATCGGAGCAATTACCATGGAAGTAAGGCGCGTCTTTGAGAGAGTGACTGTAGAAGAGATGCCAGATCTGGGACAATTATATTACATATCCGTCTCTGGATCTTGTCAAGAACTCCGAGGTAAACAGAACGTGCACCAGACCATATATGGCAGCAATACTCCATGCAAGGGCAAATGGTTGATTTGTATATTTGAAGGATCTATTCCGGGAGAAAAAATTCCTGGCGCGGCACAGAGCCAACTTTCCTCGCGGTGGACGAAGAAATTGACTCAATGTATTTGTTCCATCTCAGGTCAGCAGTCAACGTGAGACCGAGCAGACGCAGAGTGTTGCTCTCAAGAAGTTGACTATCAGACATTCTAATGGGGGGTGCAGGGAAGGATCTCTATGGTTTATTCGAACCATACAGCGAGGCGATTCTAAGAGAACTGGAAATCCTGCAAGGATTCATCATTGACAGCCACAATTTTAACAACATAAATTATGCAGATGACACAATGCTGATTGTACATACGGAAAAGAAATTACCAAACCTCCTACAAGATGTAGCAAAGAGAGCAAGAAGAAGTGACTAAGCATAAACTACAAGAAGACAAAATGAAAGGTCGTCAGCAAAAAGATGATCCAAAAGTACAATTTACAGGCTGGGACACAAAAATCATGCAGGTACAGAAATTTAAATATCTGGGAAGTATTCTAACAGAGGACGGAAAGTGCGACACTGAGATCCGAAGACGTACTGGGATAGCCAAAAATGAATTCCAAAAGATAAGCATAGTATTACGAGACAGGAAAGTTTCGTTGGAAACAAAAAAGAGTTCTGAACTCTTAACTGATATCTGTCCTCTTGTATGGCAGCGAATGCTGGACAAACTCCTCAGAGATAATGAAGAGACTCGAAGCAACAGAAATATGGTTCTACAGAAGGATGTTAAGGATACCATTGACCGAACATGTGAGCAACGACAAGGTTTTAGAGAGAATGGAAACAAAGAGGGAACTTGTACTTAACATCAGGAAGAGGCATCTGAAATTTCTGAGAAACGTAATGAGGAAGGAGGGCTTGGAAAATCCGATACTCACAGGACGGATAGAGGGACAGGGGGAAGCAACACGTTACATAATTAATGTTTTTTTTTGCAAATGGATGGCAGAACAGAGTTTGGGAGAAATAGCAAAAAAACGAAACTTATTAAGAGTTGCAAAGAACAGGAGGAGGTGGAGGACCATGATCGCCTATGTCTTGAAGAGACACAGCACATAAAAGAAGAAAGAATATATATAGATGTGTGTGTGTTCTCAATACTCTGTAACCCATGCATGCTAGTGGCACTTCTGCCTTTCTTGAGGTGAATTTCCCATATATATATATATATATATATATATATATATATATATATATATATATATATATATATATATATTCTTTCTTCTTAGAGAGAAAGAAAGAGAGATTCCGCCTTTTTGACGAGCACTTAGATTTACAATGATGGTAATATTAACAGAAATCACTTGTACAAATTTCATTGTCAGAATTCAGTCTCTTGATAAGCAATGTTATACTTACCTATGTACTTAATTAGATTTTTAATTAAATTTTCCCAACATTGAAAGACGATGTACACATAACAATGAATTTTGAACACCCACACACACGCACATGTACGTTAATGTTCTAATACACACACACACGCGCGCGCGCGCGTACCCATATGTGCATGTTTTTATTTTGGATTCGGGACCAGAACATAGAATTGATTTCCTGTTTATATTTAACAACCATTCGCCTAAGAAAGATTATGCCTTTAAGAAATATTCTGGCCTGAAGAACTTAGCAAAGGCAAATCCTTCTTCGAAATTCGCTTCCTGGCGCTACAAGATCAAAAATAAATAATTGTGGCAAATAACAGACTCCACTTCACTTTAAGAGTTTCAGCAGTAGCAACAAGTAAAATAAATAGTAGCTCGAATAGAGAATAATGAATTAATCCAGATATTGACGTTCCACACAACTACAGACAAAACGTTACAAAGGAGGTCTAATCAATAGATGAAAGATCAATAACAGTTACTGGTCTTGAGATAACTATTATCCGGAAAAATTGTTTCAGAGAAATAGTTTATGAATTTCAATGAACAATAGCACTGTCTGAATGTTTCCATATAAGGAAAGGGCTAATATTATGATTGCCATATGAATAGGAAAATAAAAATACTAGAATTTGATCAGAATTTGATCTTTCATCTACGTTTTCTTTACTGTGTGATTGCCCTGCCGTTCTCTATAAGAAAAAACACTTTCTTTTGATTAAATCAATTTGTCTATATTGTAACCGTTCAGTCATTTACATGATAATAAAAATCTACGGTTATTGTTTGTCGTACCCCTAAACCTCGTAATAGATGATACCTAGAACATTCCATAGTCACAAGAAAAAGTTGTTTTTTTTTCTGCTTTAAATATTAACCTATTTTTGTCAATCCAGAATCATAAATTCTATTAACAATGAATAACAAATTATTTACCGTATTTGTCGGCATAAGAAAAAAAACATATGGCCATATTAGATGCACCTCAATTTCATCATGCCATATTCATAAAATAAGTTTTAGTTTGTTGTTGGATAGTAAATCAAATGTTATTGGAAACTACGTCCTTGTTCCCTGTTTAGCCCATTTGAAAAAAAAATGTTGCATTTATAGAAATATTAAACCTATTTTTTTCATAATCATCTTACATATTCGGTACAGCGGATGTTTTTTTTACGCCTTGAAAGCCCTATTGTTTCATATACGAATAACACCAATGCATATCTGGATCACTCATTCAGTTGATCAGCTTACTTATTATTTTACTGATTCTGATCTACCACTGAACATTTTACGTCATCCTTTCATTCAGGTCGATGCGGGTTGCGCAACACTCCTCTCCAGAATATAACTTGGACTCGTCCAAATAATATATATATATATATATATATATATATATATATATATATATATATATAAACTAACGCCGAGAATCAACACTAGAGAGATAGAGGAGGGCGAGACTTATATCCTTACTACAGAATTCAGTAAGAGTAAGTTGACTCTAATTGACATTATATTTCATGATTGTGTTATCTTCATTCAATGGAATTAAGACATACCAGTGGCGATGAGGATTCGAATTTACAAAGGAAAGAAAAAATTCTCTCGCTTAGCTGTCGAGGAAAATTCAAAATTTACGGGAAAGAATTTTGTAGAGTTTGTGTATATTCATAGGGCGAAGTGGATTTCGATAAATTCCAAGGGTGTATGACATATAGCTATTAGGCAAAAAAAATCTTCCTAGTTAAAGACTACTTGTACAAAAATAATACTCTATAGAAGAATTGAAGATAATTATTCGGCAACTATTACAAAAATGCAGCGGGAGCGGACTGAATATCAAGAACAGTTGAAGGCAATCCTGGAAAAAAATTTCGTTTTTACAGGAGTCATTCGCTATCTCAATTAGTGATTTTAATGAAGTCCCAGAAGAAAACATTTCATTCCCATCGTGCTTCAGAAATTGATTCAGCAAGTATTTCAGATAATACATGATTACGGTTTCAAACTCAGTGACTAGAAATGTCAGTTCTTTATGGATTAGATTAAATATTTAGATCAGATAATCGACGAAAAACAAAGAACGCCCGATTCCGCTAAAAGCAAGTGCCATTGAAGCTATACCCCCTCTGACAAATTTGGTGACACTACAATCATTTTTCGGATTAAGTAAATAGTATAATATTTATTTGCCAGATATGTAGAAATTGCGAGCACCTCTAAATAATTTCCTTAAGAAGGGTACGAAATGGAATTGTTCGGTGAAATGTCAAAAAGCTTTCGAAGGAATTCAATATCTACTAACTTCAGAGACATAACGATCCGCACCCACAGATAATATTTGCGTCCGACGCTAACGAATATGGCATAGGAGCGGTAATAGGCCATAGATTCGAAGATGGTCCAATGAAAGCTGTCGCCCACGCTTCAGCAAATTTGACAAATACGGAAAAATGCTACAAATTAAAAAGGAAGGGCTTACTATGACTTTTGCTGTAAAGTTATTTCACAGAATGACATTAGGAAGAAAATTTATACTGCAAACTGATCATCGTCAATTATTAAGTATATTTCATTCTAAAAAAGGGATTCCCACACATACTGCAAACAGACTACAGCATTCGGATATGATTTTATTGAACTATGATTTCAAGATGTAATTTCTATCTTCAAAAACATTGGGACATGCAGATGGATCGTCCAGATTGATATCGAAATATACAGAAGATTTTGAAGATACTGTGATGACTTCGGTGGAATCCGAAGAGAAATTAAAAGCCTGATGTGTAACATTATTAAAAAATTATGGGTCATGATAGACGATATCAAAATTCATGCCACCAATGATGTTCAAAAATTTAAATCAATCGCCACAATCGTTTTTTTTTTCACTCCCAGTAACCCTTGCGTCTTAGTGGCATGTCGTCTTGCTTGGGTTTAAAACTATTAAAAAAAATATGTTAGCTCTAGTTTGGAGTGAATTGTGTAGCTTAATATCTTATCACATGCTGTCATATTATTTAGTGTTAAATTCCGTAAACTCGGTCAGCATTGTCTGTGTCATATTCTCATCCTTGTACAAATTAATTGAAACAACCGCTTTAGTTTCCTTTCTTTCAACATACGGTCCGTTTTATACCCACTGGAGTGACAGAGTCTAATCGATTTCTATTTTCTTCCTCAGATTAGGTCATTTGAAGTGGTGTGCTGTAATATGACTATATTTTCAGGAGGTGAGATGAAATTTGTTTGGCCTTGAAAAATATTGCGTCAACTGTGATTGCTTCAGATTTTTATCACGCCCAGAGGCGATTGTCTCAACCGTCGATTAGTTGTCCTACTGCCATTGTCTTCGATGGACTTTAGTCCAAGGAAGCCTAAGAAAATCTGTAACGCTGTACGAACACACTGGCAAGCCTTACCAGTGAGCAAATCAAAGTACTATATACTGGCCTGAAAACTGTTCTGATTTATATCCAATTGAGAATCTGTTGTCAATCTGCATGGAACGACTTCGTGGAATGGACATACGAAGTTCTAACATGTGCACTGGGTCATGTTTCATTTGTCAGTCATTCATTCTCCATTAGCCAATTCACATTCCTCTCCGCCCTTAGTAGTATAGCTCCCATCTAGTGTCATATCATTGCCGTTGTTTCCAGCTGATTAATGATAAGATTGATTTGAAATGTGTTTAAGCACGATGAATCATCTGCTAACGACAAACGTAGCGTTATATTCTTAAGATATTTCTTCTTCTTTTTAAATCATTTCACCTCATGCAAGGCAGTAAAGCTCCTAGGGGTTACTGGGTGTGAAGAATATGAAAAAAGAGAAACATTATTAAGGAGCGAGAAAAATAAAATGGTAATCAACGACTGATATTGTATTAATTGAGGCTGAAGAGAATTCCACAAGCGAGAAGTGCGAGAAAAGAAACTGTCAGCGTAGAAGTTACGATTACATCAAGTTACTTCAACTGTGGATTGATGAAACCTTGGTACCAGTCTATTACTGCGATTAAATTCATGAAGCCTAAGCAGTACAGCGGAGAAGGATATTTATTCTGCTATGTAGAGAAATGTGGCGCAAGGCCAAAATAAGGAATGGGGAAAAGGGTGATCTTCATCTACCTTAACGTTAAACTTAGCTAACCACAAACACTGATCCAAATATACTACAATATTCCTTGCACCACACCAATGCATTCTTACTTACCTTTCTTACTACAACCACCATAATACCGCAATGTCTCTACGAGAGTCCTAACTAGCTCACACATGTAAAATTCATTGTCTGTGGCGGGGAGGGGGGATAAAAATTTAAAAATTTAACCCCAATGAATATTTACGAAAATTTTCAAAATTATTTACAGAAACTAGAAAAAATAAAGTTAGTAATAAAACCTCCCACATAGCGAAGAGTGATATTTATTTGTAATTATTTACAAAATGTGGTACAAGTCCAAAATGGGGAATAGGGAAAAGAGCGGTCTTCTTCTGTCTTAACCTTAAACTTAGCTAGGGACAAACACTGACCCAAACATACCACAATATTCCTAACACCAAAACAACGCATTCTTACTTACCTTTCTTACTACATGCACCATAATACCTCGTTTTGTCTTTATGAAAATCCTAACTAGTCCCCCATATATACAATTCATTGTCTGTGGGGGGAGGGCAATAAAATAACAAATTTAAAAATCTAACCTCAATGAATATTTACAAAAAATACAAATCTAATTACAAGAAACTAAACAAAATGATGTTATCTGTCTATATTTCTGAGATGAGGTATTATGTACACTATTTACATTATTCGGACTATTGTCCTCATCTTTGTCGCCATATTACAACGTGTCGACCGTTGTGCTCTCCGGCCTTCTTCAGGTGGTTGAAATGTCGAACTGAAGCCTTTATTTCGCTCACTGTGGTAGGCTTGTTCCACGTGACATGTTTAATGGATGTCAATTATCAGTTATCTCCTGTTAATTCCCCTCTCCAAGTTCTCCACTGCCTTAACCGGGTATTGAACCCACACAATTTGGGTCCTGTCACTGGATCTAACTAACGCCTTTATCCACTGTGCCAGTGTGTGGGTTATGGGAAACGTCCGCAATAATCTCTCAACTTAGCATTTTCTTTAAAACTTGCTCCTTATTCTCATGTTCAAATTCTCAGCAACATTTGTAGAACTACGTCCCCGTCCTTTTTATCATCTTCTTAAAACATTCACTGCCCTATCGGTAGATAAATATGACGTATTTTATGAACTCATGTTAAAATCGATTTTATGTTGACAAAACTGAATACAATATAGTGGAGAAAAGGACACCATTTGATCGACCAGTTTATCGCAAAGACAAGTCTCCATTAAACTTCTTGAAAAACTTCGATTATTTCAAATAGGAGAAAACATAGTCTTTGATGAGGTACGAGATAGATAGATAGATAGATAGATATGAACAGACTGAAATAGATAGATATGAACAGATAGATAGATAGATAGATAGATATGAACAGAATAAAAAGATATGAACAGACTGAAATAGATAGATATGAACAGACAGATAGATAGATAGATAGATAGATAATGAACAGACTGAAATAGATAGAGATGAACAGATAGATAGATAGATAGATATGAACAGAATAAAACAGATAGATATGAACAGACTGAAATAGATAGATATGAACAGGCAGATAGATAGATAGATAGATAGATAGATAGATAGATAGATAGATAATGAACAGACTGAAATAGATAGATATGAACATAGATAGATATATATGAATAGAATAAAACAGATAGATATGAACAGACTGAAATAGATAGTTATGAACAGACAGACAGATAGATAGATAGATATGAACAGACTTAGATATCAACAGAATGAAACAGATAGATATGAACAGACTGAAATAGATAGATATGAACAGGCAGATAGATAGATAGATAGATAGATAGATAGATAGATAGATAGATAGATATGAACAGCATAAAACAGATAAATATGAACAGACTGAAATAGGTAGTTATGAACAGACAGACAGACAGATAGATAGATAGATAGATAGATAGATAGATAGATAGATAGATATTTTTTATAGCCGTACTTCCTCACAATGGCCCAGAAATTAAAAATATCTTTTTTTCTGATTTTAAGTACGTTTTCTTTTCGTTCCCATTTAGAACTTCCACATTGCTCAGGTATCCTGCTGACGATCATCTCGGCATTTGTTCATCAAATTAAAAAGAACTTAAAATGAACCTTTGGAGACAATCAGACGCAATGTATTTTTCTCTTATTGCTTTAAGATTTTCGAATAAATGGATGAGAATGAGATTACATTTAAAATCGAATACGAGTCTCTCTGTATGTAAGCGGACCCTCCCTGTTTATAAAGATTCGAACATTGTTCGCATCTCTCTCGATTGCAGCTGTGCGACAAATACAAGTTATATTGATTTGATGGATATTATTATTCTAATTTATCAATCACTAGGATAAGGTTCATTAGGGAATCAGACGTTTATCGGTTTGTGTCTGTATTTGACACCCAAAATGTCATTGTTTTCACAGCATCGAGATGTATGGTGAAATATCAAATAGGTTATTATATATTAATTCCACTTCACTTCTGTTTACATTAAACTTCCGACTTATTTTTCATCCGGCAGCGCTGACAAAGTTAACCTGACCGCTGCTCTCGAAAGACAACCTCCGATCAGTGGTTGACTGAGGCAGGAAATGGCTTGTAAATTGCTCTCAATTAACCACCGCAGAGAGACGTCGCTGTCTTCCATCAATAGTGTTGATGGTCGTCTCTGTGAAAGAGTTTCACTCCGTCTTCTTGGCCTCACGTTTTCAACTGACTTGTAGTGGAATAACTCCACTGAATCAATAGCTGCATCTACCGTAAGGAAAGTTAGTTCACTGTGTCGTGTCAAAAGTGATTTCTCGCACATCTACTAATCTAGTATTCGTCCTTGCATTGAATAATGTTGCCATATCTGGTCTGCTGCTGCTGATCTCGAGGTTTTTGAAAACATCCATAGAAGGATCTCTAATTTAATCGATCTGGATTGGCTTTTTCGATTTCAAACGCTCTCTCACAGATGTGACGTGGCTTCCCTCTACCTTTTCTACATATATTTTCATGGCTACTGCACTGACAATCTTTTTCCCTTGGTTCACAACTACATGAATTTAAGCATGCTACTAGATATATATCTATGTTCTACCCATTAATGTTCAGATAGTTAAATTTAATTGCCACTTCTACTTCAATAATTTCTTTCCTCACACTTCCCACCCGTGGAACTGCTTTCCGTTTATTTGCTTCCCTGATAACTACAATCTTCAAAAATTTAAATGCACCGTCAATCGGCATCTTCCGTTGTCTTGATGTCAGTCCTTTTTTTCCTTTTCCCATTCTCCCTACACCCACTCTTTTCTCTCACTTTCACTCTCCGTAACCATCTGCTTGCTAGTGACACTCCTGCCTTGATTGGGGGGGGGAATACTTTAGAAAAAAATAACAAAGTCTATTACTAAAAAAAATGAACAAATATCGTCCAGGAATAAAAAGGAGCTTCCAAAAATGTATACTGAAAACAACATGAGTAAACCTGAGAATCGAATGAAGAAAACCTGACTGGAAACAAACATATTTCATATCGAGGAGGGCCGTTGAATTTTCTGTCATATCCTCGGCTTCGGCAGAAGGTTATTAACTTGAAATAACGACATGTGAAAGTAGGGATATATTAAGCGACATTTGTATAAAACAGTTATTTTTGGACTAAGAGGAAAAAACTGAAATAATCAAATATGAAGATGCGGAACAGACCCGTACGAGTGAATATGAGATTGTACTAATCAAATCCACTCAAATTTGGTTTGATTTGGTTTGTTTAGTTTTACGGCATATGGTTTATTTAATGCCGTCAAGAATTTTATTGCCGGTAATATTTATTTTCAAAAATGTATTGCTGGTAATATTTTTTTCTTCAAAAATGTATCACTGGTAATATTATTTTTTTCAAAGATGTTTTGCTGGTAAATTGCTGGTAATATTTTTTCCTCAAAAATGCATTGCTGGTAATAATTTTTCCTTCAAAAATATATTATTGTATAAAAACCTATTTTAACACTTTTATAGTGTTTTGACCCTAGTTTAACTATTTGCCTATAGTTGGGGGGCACTAAAACGGTGTTACCACCCCGGGTCAGGGTGAATCTGGTAACACCAGCAATTTAGAGGTGGTTCAACGCTCCTCAAAACCGCCTGATCAGGGGCCTTGCTGTTGGATGTAGTTTATCGTCTTATCCAGGAATCAAATGTAGTTTATCGTCATACCCAGGACCGTCTGAAATTTGGTACACTCAATGAAAAATTCTTTCTTCACTGAGTGTATCAAATTTGAGAGCATGTGACACATGGATCTCAATCAGCTACCCATCCGTACTTAAATCTATATACACACGCACACACAAACATACACATATTCTTACTTCTTTATGTGTGCGTATGTGTGTATATTGCTGAGAGTGTGAGTTACAGGAATAGAGGTGGATATGTTGCGAATATTATTTCTACACCCAGTAACCCATTGCGTCTTAGTGGCTTTACTGCCTTGCTTGGGATGAACGCGATTAAAAAAATAATCTTACAAAAGTAATACATTTATTCCTCTTTGTCAATGCACAACATACAGATTAAATACCGAAAATCAGCAAATAAATTTTTAGCTAAAAATAAAATATATTCCAAAGTTCACTTTTTAATCATTATTTTTTTTATCCATTCTTCCCAAATCATTTACGTTTTTTACTTAGAAGGCTGAATGGGAAATGAACGTGTGACAGGAAGTTCAGTGACAGGAAGTTCAGTGACTAGCGATGAGACATATTCGTCTACGGATACAAGATTCACTTGCAATGACATGCCACACTTTCATTACTTCCTGTCATATCGGAATTCCTGTATTGCTCTATATGTAATCATTAGATTGTGATGACTTTGACGTAAAAATTCTATAATATATAATGAAAGTCATATCACTTTATTCATACGAGTATATGTAAAGTCGGCATCTACCATTTTATTTACTTGGTGAGATAACAAATACTACATTCATTCCCACTGTGGACGCCCAAATCATTTTGTGATCATGGAAGTTAATTTCTTTTCAAATAAAGGAAGCGAAAAAATGGTAATTAGTTTCTTTTATCAGTTTTATCACAGAAAAGTAAAAGTGATCGATGATTAAAAACAAAGATATTTTTAAGTTAACCTTTTAAAAAAATATAAAATATACTTTTCTGCATGTATATATATATATATATATATATATATATATATATAGGTAATATTGTTTGCCAAAGTTCAGATGCCGCACGCAAATCTTAGATAATTGACGCCATAGACACGGTACAGTAGCGATATTATCTTTACTAACAGAGACTCGTTCTAAAAGCTATTTTTAAAGGCAAACAGTTGAGGTCAATTGATATTTGGATTAATTTATTTACATTGAAATTTGGCTGAAACTTCATGCATGGATAAATGTCTTCTTTTAAGAGAAATTTTTCTATTGCTATAATATTATATCCAAGTCAAATGAACATTTTAGTAAAAATATACATAGCTTTACTGAAACATTAATCAATTCAGAATAAAATGAATTATTAATCTATATATCTATAACACGCTGAGTGTAGTTTGTCTATTTTTGTTCAGTAGAATTATTTCCTTTGATGCAATGGTTCCCAACCTTTTTTCTCTGTGCGACATTTTCAGAATGGAAATTTGCTCGCGCCTCAACAAATTTTATGTGATAAAAAGTACATTTAAAAATCTTAAAAAAAAGAGAGCGATTTAAAGGGAGATAAACGCGGATTCAAAATCAGAACATTATCATTGATAACTCTCTCCTCCAATTTGCGGAGCTTAGTTACTATATTCTTAATACTTCATATAATGTAAAAATATCACAATGATAAATTCGGTTAATAGTTATTTATAACTATTTCTACTGGGACTCATTCATGTAGTTACAAGTAATCCATAATAATACTTTAAATTTTGGAATCTTATTTATTTTTGGCATTGAAACTGTTTCTAAATCTTTGTCTTTCAGTCATTCAAACTCACCCTGCTCTCCTCTTTCGCTGCGTCTATTTTCATATGTGTAAACCTGATGACATATGACGCTCTTTACGAATAAATATTATTCTCCGCCCTGTAAATCTTGTCTCACAGACGAAATGTCTTAACTTTTTTACAACTATATCGCTATTTCTATGACATATGTTTGAACGAGTTACTTTCTTTAGAGCCCTGAATTTCACAACTAGAACCTATCATGCCGTTTTCACAGCGGCAAATCATCCCCATATATATATATATATATATATATATATATATATATATATATATATATAAATTCATGAATCATTCACAAAAAACAAATATAGAGGTTAATGATTTAAATGGCAAGAATACATCGTCGCAAACAATTTCAATAAGATACATCAACCCCGAACCTGTAAACGCTGAGTTTGAATTTTAAATTTTAAGGTTGTGCGTTTTTTTATTCAACAATTTATAAATTATAATTGCACGTTTTAATTGAAATTAAAATAACTGATCCAACGTGCAACTCTCGGATAATAAGTGTGACATTACTGTAATTATTGAACAATATAGTTCATGCCATATTCACGGAAAATCTACCAGTAAAAAAGAATTCTCTTATTGCTATATTGGTACAAAAACGCACAACCTTAAAATTTAAATTCAAACTCAGCGTTGCGACCGCACGTTCCAAAACAATAACACATTTCTCATAGCATTTTTTTCGGATTACATCTCTATTTTCGTTGTCCTCTTATTACTGAAAAGTAAAAACAAGAAGAAAATCTACTTCCATACCTGATGATATCTGTAGGAACAGACGAAAGCTTGTAAAAAATTAAAAAGACCTTATGCAACTGGAATTTATAAACAGGGATCATATCATTCATATACAGGTTCGGGGTTGATCTATCTTATTTATATTGTTTACGACGATGTATTCTCGCCATTTAAATCATTAACCTCTATATTTGTTTTTTGTATGAATGATTCATGAATTTATATATATATATATATATATATATATATATATATATATTTGGAATGATTCATAAATTTTAAAAATTGCACCTTTAATTGAAATATATATATATATATATATATATATATATATATATATATATATATATATATATTACAATAAATCATTCATACAAAAAGTAGATTAGTAAATTTAATGATATAAAATGGCGAAATCCTTCGCTAACAAAATTTTAAAGGTGCATTGACCTACAAATCACTCGATGAATTTTATGATCCTTGTTTTTAAAAATTGATCCTAGTTTTTTTTTTTTTTTTAAATATTCAAATTGCCATATTAGTAAAAAACGCATGCTCTTAAATTTTCAAAAAAATTCAACCTTAGCTGTACGACTGCACGCTCCAAAAGTTTGTATCCGTTATCAATAACACATTTAAAAAATATATATATATTTTGATTCGCATTATATTTTTTCGTCTCGGATGCTACCTGAATTTTACCAAAAACAAAATAATTTCCATGGCTGAAGATGACTGAATGTAGAGTTGAAAGTACTTATGTATTAAAGAAAGACCTTATACAGCTTATAATATTTAATATCAAGGATCATAACATTCATCGAGTGATTTGTAGGTTAATGCACCTTTAAAATTTTGTTAGCGAAGGGATTTCGCCATTTTATATCATTAACTTTACTAATCCACTTTTTGTATGAATGATTGACTGTAATATAAAGTGAAATGGACCACATATTTGATATATATATATATATATATATATATATATATATTCAATAAATTAATTTCAAAATCTGGTATTTTAGCCAACTTCAGAGTTTCGCTGACACAAGTTTCATTATGTTAAATGAGTCGGAAAAAAACTGGACTTTTATTAAATTATCGTCAATTGACACCCCAGCTATCTATTGATCACGTTCTAGCCCAAAATTGAAATTTGGTTGGTAATTTTACGTATTTTTACAGGTGTTCATCAATTGATTTATCTTTTTTTCTACGCCTTATTTTTCAACACTTTGCTGATTATTTAAAACCAGAAAATATTTTTTTTTTATTTTTAAGATTTTTTTGTTTTTTTTCGAGAAGAGTGATTTAGCGATAAAAATCTTATTAATTAACCCATCGATGGAGGGGTTATGGGTGGATTCATATGTTTCTTAAGGCTATTTGGCCGTAAGTCAATATAATGAACCCAACTGAAAGTAGAACTCGGCTCTTCGATTAACAATTCCGATTATTACACCGAGTGGTGTAATTATCCATTACACCATCGCTTTTGCTAATAGCATTACATTCCTTTGCCGAAATCCTATTTTTTTCCTATGCAATGGGCCACTTTTTAGGCACACTTTTGATTTATTCTGGTGATTGTTTCGTTTTTCACCAATTCAGAGAAACTATTCGGCATTCCCCTTCTGCCGACTTTAGTTCGCTTGTGCATATTATGTACACATCAGTTATCCTCATGTTAACAAATTAAGCTAGCCGAGGGGTTATAAAACGTCGATTTCACAAAATATTTCAAACTACCCGAAGACGGTGTTCAAGCGCATAAAACTTATCAAGAACGCCGGAAAATGGTTAAAGATGTTTTAAACATTATCACTCTAAGCCAGACAATAAAGTCAATAAGAGGTAAGGTAGACAGGATTAGAAAAAGAAAACGTTATTAAGGTTATCAACGAGAAAAGAGAATGAATTAAGATGACAGAAGATAACGATTGACATTGCATTTATTTTTTTAAATATCAAAGCATGACTGAAGCAAGAAGCTGGATGAGATTTCCAAAAGAGTGAAGTACGATAGAAAAATTGTTAGTATAGAAGAAATAAGACCTTACCAATAATCTAGTACCGCGCTTAAATTTTAAAAAAAATGGCACTAAATAGAAAATCTCACCAGAATAATAACCATGAAAACATTTATAGAAAACGGACAGAAAATGGCGGTGGGAAAGCGATGGAAACCAAGATGTCAGGTCTGTGCCGATAAGATTGAAAATTCTTCTTTGTATTTTATCAAGAATCTCTAAATTCGTAACCGAATCATCAGACCAGATGTGAGAGCAATATTTAATATATGGAAGAATGACAGGTGATAAATTATAATTGACATCATCTTACACATTATAAAGGTGTAAGATAAATTCTGGTAGGAAAGGAATGGTCTAGAACGATACAGTGAACCACCTTTCCTAACACTAGATATAGGAATTGATTCAATATAATTGATTTATTTCTGCCAGCGGAAAACGTTAGCCGAGAAGGCTCAATGAGTCACTATCCTGAAGGTAACAATCAGCCATGTTGGAATATAAAAATAAAGGTTCTCTAAGGCGATTAAGAGAGCCCAGTTTCGTTTTCGGGGCGTAAAAATTAATAGGTCGTTCCTTGCCTCAGTTAACAACTGACCATAGGTTATTTTTGAGAGCATCTGCCAAGTTGATCCTGTCGGACAGATCAGACTTACTATTAAGATTGAAGTAAATAGTTGTGTCATCAAACATAGATACCGATTTGATTACTGATAACATCCTGATGGTCGTTGAAGAAAATTAGGAACAGCGTAGGGCCAAGGATATATCTCTGGTGTACACCTGTTTTAATGCAAAAAGATCTAGAGGAATGGCCGTTCAAGATAACTTTCATTTCATGATTTGATAGGAAAAACTGCTTTAGTTCAAAGATTCGTCCAGAAAAATCATACCATTCCAACTTGTGAAGAAACCTGGCATGCTAAACCCTGTGAGTTACCTTCAAGATAACGAACAGCCCGTATTAATGTTATGAACACTCTGCAATTTTGCCAC